AACTAAAAAAAGTTTCAATTTCCACAGTGAATCACAAGATCATTGTTGGAAAACCTATTTAATATAAGAATATAGGCAGATTCTTATCGCACATCTAGATCATTAGATTAACCACTGTTCCAAAATTAAGTGTATGAGCCTCATACTACTTAAAAGTTCATACCATAGTATTTTTTAAGGTGTAGCGATGAGTGAGGATGGTATTTGGATTATATATATAAATAAGAAAAATACCATGCACTCCCTCACTCATTTATCGCTGCATTTCAAAAATTAAAAAACTTAAAAATTGAAATTTGAAATAGTGCTTCCTCTAATGATCCAAATGTGCAATACGAAATTATTTTCTGATATTGTAGCAATAATTTTGAGATTCACGGTTGGAACTGAAACTTTTTTTTGTTTTATAAAAAGCTGCAATTTTTTACATATTATAAAAGTAATAGTATAATTATAGCATTATTTTCTTTTTCTTGTATTTAACTGTATGTTATTGGTTATTAAGTCAAAATGTACAATTATAAATAGAAATGTCACGCTTATACTCTCAAATAAAGAAACTTTATCTTAAAACCAAAGAATGTGTGTGGCTTAATACCCAAAAACTAATCAATTGAATTACATGAAAATAACAGAGCTAAATCCAATCCGCGACTTGATGTTGCCCATATAGGTAAAATGGTTCCTGGTACAATGCCGCATATTAAGTGACCGAAATAGCTAGGTGAGCACCATAATCTGAGGGATCCAAGTGGACCGTTGGTACGGGACTCACCAGGAGTCTATAATTGAACTAAGTCCATCGAGTAAGTTACAAGGAGTAAATGCGAGTGCTTGGGCAGAAACTCCATCATTGTATTTTAAACTCTCGAACAATTTTGTATTTATCACGCATGTAACTTATAAGTGATTAAATTAATATTCTAACAAATAAATAAGAATTAATACGATTATCCGGGTCCTGTGAGTACATTATTTCACGTATCATGCCAATGTCGATTTCAGTACGGTGATTTACCACACTTCCCAACTAATCAAATGTCATTATATATCAATTACAATAGTTACTAATTACTATGTGATAGGAGATAGGTATGAATTTACATTGTAACAATTTAGGGATCGCTCTACGTATCATTAATACATATTACATAATATGATTAGTGAGTATTTTTTTTTTGTACCTTTTACCTATTGTAATATACTTTATCGTCTATATGTAAGCACGTTATACATTATAAAAATTTTAATATAACACTAGGTGCAAGAAACTTGTTATGTATACTTACTATTAACAGTTGGTACAATTTCATCATTTGTATCCTTTTCGGTATCGATCGAATATAATTTATCTATAAAAGTATAAATTATATTTCAAGTAAATATAACTCAGTTTGTTATTGACTTTTTTTTACGATATTCAACAACGTTTCCAAATTATTAATTAGTCAATCTAAATAAAACATTTTTTTGTGAATCATAACTCAATAACCCCTAGCGGTCCACTTTCTGATAGTATAACAAGCTTGCAGATACCATTATTAGTTTTTTTTTTCTTAAAGTTTTGTTTAAATCTTCAATAATGTTCCCAAGTAAACCTATGAAAAAACCAAGTGGCTTACGGGAGTAAGCTAGTGAGAGCCCGAAAATTGGCTCATGGTGGTCAACCTGTTAAGTCGGAGGCAACACAAAACTGCTTATAATTATTGATTTTATTTTGAATAGTCGACTCCCATGAGTAATACATATTATACAATCTTATATAAAATCCTCATTGAACGATTCACTTATTGTAGATACTAAATATATTATCATACATATCATGTTCAAACATACTAATAAAGGTTCATAAAATAATTACAAAATAGAAATTAAACAGTACGAATAAATTTTGTACAAATCAGTTTTCTATTGTAGACTAATATATATAGATAACAATTTTAATAGTTACAATATGTTGGACTATAAGTATTCATTTACATTAGAACAACCTAAGATTCGCTTTACGTATTATCATTAATATCTACATAATATGTAAATGAATACTTATAAATCGTACATCAAATATAGTATGTGATTGTATGATTAATACGTATTTTTACTACCTCTTTCAATTTTCAATACAATTAATCATCAACAATCAATATATGCATTATAACATTTTTTTATATAACATTATAAATAAATACTATTATAATTGTATACTTACAGAATTCTTCCAATACTTTTTGAAATGGATCAGTGTTAAATTCGTACAAATCTATGAAGAAATAATTTATATTATACAATACAATGTCAATCTAAGAACGTTACTGTTTTTTATTTCATTCTAATCAACTACATAAACTTTTGAACGAAATTACAACATAAAGATACATACAATTTAGACTGGTGCAATAGAGATTACCACTCAGTTTTCCGTACTTAATGGATCAAATATTTAACCAAAATATTATGCTCTAATTATGAAGTGTAAATATCACAATATCTTTCACATTTCTAGAAAAGTCAATGACATGTTTTATCTTGTAATATCTCAAAAAGAGTTTTAAAAATTATATGGAAGGTCAAAATACAATGGACAAGAATTTAAAACAAGAAACCAAGAATAGGTACTATTAGTTTTTTAAAAAGTACAGAATATGTTAGCGTACCTTTATATGTTATAAGTGTATGTATAGACTATTTATTAAATACAAAAAACAAGTAGCAAACGTCCAGGATAATTTTATACTATTCATCTTTTGAACAAACTCTTCATATATTATATATTATTGATTGTGTTCATTGTCTTTGTATCGAGGGCAATAAGTGCAATCAGTTGGACGAGAGTGATATCTGTAAAATACCTTCACGGTGGACAGACAGACACATCCAGCACTTACAGTTTTCTAATAAAGTTAGTCATAATGAATTATTGCTTTTTTATTATTTAAAAAAATTAACGTACCAGGTATTGCTTTTATAAGTCCATTTTCAAACATTTGCCCTATAAAGTTTTCGATTATTAATAAACGAAAATAAATCTTTATAAAAACAATTCGTCCGTACGCCTGTGCCAATTGACTAGTTTTATGTTTTTCATTTTAAACCGGCCAAATCAGGTGGAGAATAGATGTTGGTCCATCCGAAGTTAAAAAAGTTATATATATATATAGGTTTCTTCTAGCTGGAATTGTTTTTATACATTTACATTAGTACATCTTACGTGACTTACATCATACACTTTGTAAGGTTACCTTACGGTCGGACACTAAAAGGGTACCGACCACCACGGATCCGAGACTGGTTAGGTCGGAGAAACGTGGATTTTTGAACATATACACATTATGATTTGAAATATAGATTTTTAAATTTATTTACACATCTTCTTAAAGAACATAGACAGCACCCGAAATTTGTGCATTGGTAGTACATGTAAAGTGCCCGACACCTGTAGGGTCACCACCACGTTGGCCTGGTCCCAGCCGCTTGTTTTTTTTATCAAATTTTGTTGTTGTTGCAATATGATTTGTCCACCCTCGGACCTCCGGGCGACAGTCCTGGCCGATCCAACTGTCCTACTGTATGGCTGGGGACATTGCACTTGGTCGGAAACTGCGTTGCGCCGATGACCACTGTCGGGAATTGTTACGGCGAATGACGACTTTTCGGGTGTATATCGATATAATATTGATATACGATATAAAACTTGTTTCTATTTTGTTGTATGTGTGTGCGGTAAGGCTTGGGTTTGCCTTATCTCCCCGGACTTTATCCCGATATTGTGGCATATTTGTATATATACCACACATAAACCTGTAGCGACTTCGGTTAGTACCACTTGGATAATTTAATCACGTTACAACTTTTGGAGATCAAGCATTTTTTTTTCATTTTAAGAAAAAAGAAAATTTTTTTGTTAAATTTTTTGTTGCCAAAGGTCACATATTATATTAATAATATGATTGAAAGAAATATACAAGTATATTTATTGAAAGTTTAAATCTCAAGCTGGAGGAAGGTCGGTCGGGACAGATAGTATTAATAAAGATATTGTGTATTGTGTGGATAGGGCGTGATGTGAGGTGTTTTAAACATGGATAACGATTGCTAAACAATCCGAAGGAGCTGATGGCTAAACAATTTTCTATTTGTTCTTACTCTAAAGGATTAAAAATCAGGAATTGAAATCTATTGAATTTAGGTTTCGTTTTCGATTTTGTATGCTAGTTTCCAATATTTTTCCGTTTTGGATTTAATACCTGTTTTAAATTATAATACTGGTTTTCAATTTTTCATTTTTTAGTTTATTAATTTATTTGAATCGCTAGAAAAAGAAAGCGCCTTTTGTATACAGTAAAGTTTTCAAAATGTTCAAGATACAAATATTTTCAAAAAAATACTGTTTTTTAAATCATATTTTCGGTTTCGGTTTGGAAGTTAATACTGTTATCTAATTTTTTCAGGTTTCGGTTTTATAACAATTTATATTGGTTTTTGAAATCGGTTTTGAAACCGGTTTCAAGCCCTGCTTTTAATACCCCCGAATACGCCCCTATCTTGTATATTACACCTAATTATATGCTAAATTACATGGCAATTCTAAATTAACTTTTAATCTCTCCGATCGCCGTTCTTGGTATCTAACTTTCTAAACTATGAACAGTGCATACATATTGTTGAAGCCGGGTAACGAAACAATATTATACAGTCGGCCGATATCACACACACATTGATACGGAGCAGCAGAACTGCCCGTGTCGCAAAATAAAATCAATACAATTGTGTATCAGTATTACGTTTCCTTTATTATATAATCAGTAATAAATATGAGTACATATGCCAAAGGCATAGTTTTCATTGGCGGGTGCTGGGTCACTGTTGGATTCGATTGGACTCCTCGTGTTGACCCTGTGTCACTTCTCCTTCCGATGTTGGTTTTGCGCCGTCGGTGGATTCACTGCGTCATGGTGGGTTCCCAAGTCGTCCGTGGATCGTTCTCTAGGCTTCGGTAATTATTATGGGCCGGTTGAACTAAGTAGGCATCCAGTCCTCCGGTCCCCGCGTCTGAGTGCTGTTAGGCTTCGTCGCGTCAGATGCGTGGTGAGTTGACACTGGTGGTCGTTGTATCGAAAGTAGCATTGGATCGCTGAATACTGACTCTGTCGATCGAGGTCAATAATGCTTATGACCAGTCGCACTGCGAGTTCTTCACTCCGTTCTGGTCGTGGCTCGTGTGGTTGAACTCCGGGTGCTCCGGATGATGTGATTGGCTGGGCTGTCTCCATCGCTCTACTCCGAGGTTAGAAAATTGCTTGGCGATCGGAATCGATGGCTGTCTCTTCTTCGGTGACGGTCACGGCTATAATCTGGTTTTGGATAGTCTTCGTTTTTCGGTTCTTCGGTACAAGTTGAAATGTTGACTGTTTGAGAAGATATTGAAGACTGATGATTGTTCGCTTTGCTTTGCTTTGTAGGACGGCCTTTGGGCCTATTTGCCAGTGTCAGGCGTGAGCCTATGACTGGCGGGATTGTTTTGGTTTATTGATATATGTTACTGGAAATGTGCCCAATCAAGATGGCGAGTTTTGTTTATCGATAGGATTGGGTTTGCTCTTGTGCGACCTAGATCACGGATGTGTGGGTGGGGAGATGTAAGATTTTTGTGGAACATTATTTTGCTGTTTATCTTGATTTTGTCTTCGATGGTGACTGTTCAGGTGGACTTGCGAAGGGTGATATTGTTTACGAACCAAGGTGAAGCGGTAATGGTCCGTAAACCGATGTTTTGGACCGATTCAACCTTCCTCCAGTTCGAACGCAACAGTAATGGCACCCAGGCGGGGCCAGCATATGTTAAAACTGAGCCTATGTATGATTGGAGGCAGGTGATTTTAGTTTTGATAGGTATCGGACTGCGGTGATTTAGCACCGGGTATAGTAAACCTCTAATTGCTGTTGCTCTCTTTGTGATGATATTGATATGTTTTTTAAATTTTAGGTCTAGATCTATATTTAACCCTAGGTATTTGCTACTAGTAGACCATTCTATAGTTTGTCCGTTTATTTGGGGTTTGAAATCATTAAAGCCTCTAGGGCGGTTGAACATGACTGCCACTGATTTTTGAGCGTTGACTTTCAGTTTCAACTTTTGGAACCAGGCCATCGCTAAGTCAATCTGTTTTTGGAGCTGAATGGCTGCTCTTGAAGGGTTTCGGTTAGTGGTTGTTAACAGGGTATCGTCAGCAAAAAGCGAGAGAGAGGCGTTACTGTTCAGTGGTATGTAATTTGTGTATGCGGAGTAAATAATCGGAGAGAGGCAGGAGCCTTATGGGACGCCTGCTCGTATAGGTTTTGCGCTAGATATTTCATTCTCTACCCGTACAATGAAGCTCCGGTCTTCTATGAAAGATTTTACGAGTGCTAACAGGTAAGCCGGAGTGTTTAGTTGGTGGAGTTTGTATAACAGACCCGAGTGCCATACTCGATCGAACGCTTTTTCTATATCTAAGAAGATGGCTGCTGTGCGTTGTTTGTTGCTTTTGTTTACTGATAGACGGTCGATTAGGCCTACCATTTGATGGGTTGTCGAGTGATGGCTACGGAAGGCGAACTGTTCTTGTCTTATTTTGGGGCCTATGACTGCATTGAGTTTGGTGATTATGACCTTTTCAAATACTTTTGACAGCGATGATAAGAGTGAGATCGGGCGTTAGTTTGCAGGATGGCGAAGGTCTTTGCCATTGGGATTGTGATTATGACTGCATGTTTCCAAGATTTTGGAAAGTATCCAATACGCATGCATCCGTTGAATATTCTCGTTAATAAGAGAACCGCGGATTTGGGTAAAAACTGTATAGCCGTGTTTGAGATATGATCGATGCCTGGAGCCTTGCGTTTAGGTAAATTTTTTATTGATTTTTTATTTGATTATTCTTTGCTTTGCTTTGCTTTGGGGGGATGGCTAAGCCGTGAAAACTATACCAGGCTTTTGCCTCTACTAGTAGATGGATGTTTAGGAAGGTGGTTTTAAATTTGTTGGTTAACCCATGTCAAAGGGTAGGGTTTGATTCTACACTTTGTGGTTGGTGGGGTGTGAGATTTCCCTAAGGGTCGGATGTGGGCATGAGTAGAGAAAGAGTTTTTGTAGAACATCGATTTAGATTGGCTATGAATAGAATTTTTGATTGACTTGAAATTTTCTGATTTTAGAAGGACCGAATTTTTAACGATAGTGGGCATACACGTTATCGTGCGAATGCCGATGTTTTGAACAGATTCGATACGTCTCCAATGTGAGGGACCGATGAAAGGAACCCAAGAGGGGCCAGCATAAGAAAGAATTGGAGAGACGTAGAGTTTTAGAATATTGAGCTTTGAAGATTTTGGTACAGGGCTAGAACGGTTGAGAATGGGGTAAAGAATTCCGCGAACGCGAGTGGCTTTTTTTTTGATGTCTTGAACGTGTTTATCGAAGGTGAGTTTCCGCCCTATTGTAAAGCCGAGGTATTTGGCATGATTGGACCAAGTCACTGGATGGTTGTCGAGTAGTAGTGGTGGGATGTGAGTAGTATTGGAACGTCCGAAAAGAATACCTATTGTTTTGGTAGGGTTTATTTTGATTTTCCAGCGATGAAACCATGTGGTAGCTAGGTTGAGTTGGTGTTGTAATTGTATGGCTGCACGTTTCGGGTTTTTGTCGAAAGTAAAGAACATAGTGTCGTCAGCGAATAGTGAGAGGTGAGCTTTAGGAGTTGTTGGTATGTAGTTAATGTAAGTCAAGTAGAGAGTAGTTGAAAGGCAGGATCCTTGAGGGACGCCTGCGAGTATGTGTCTGGTGGACGAGAACGAGTCTTCGATTTTTGTGACAAAAGTGCGGTCAGTGAGAAAGGATTCGATGATTTTAACGATTTCAGTCGAGATGTTGAGTTGGGACAGTTTGTAGAGGAGACCGACGTGCCAGACCCGGTCGAAGGCTTTTTCCACGTCAAGGAAAATGGAGGCGGTGTTAACGTTGTCGTTAAAGTTCTGACTAAGTTGGTGATTAAGTTTGGTCAGTTGTAGAGTGGTAGAGTGTTCAGGTCTGAAGGCAAATTGTTTTGGGCGGATTTTGTCTCGAAGATTGGTTTGAAGGTGAGAGAGGATGATTCGTTCGTAAATTTTTGATATTGAGGAGAGTAGAGAGATAGGTCGGTAATTTTCGGGAAGTTTGTGATCTTTACCCGGCTTGGGGATGGAAATTATTACTGCTTTTTTCCAAGCACGTGGAAAGTAGCAAATTCTGAGGGAGCAATTTATAATTTGTGTTAAGGAAAGTAGAATGTTATTCGGTAGAAATTTAAGAGCAGTGTTGGTGATGAGATCGTCACCAGGGGCTTTCTTTTTGCGGAGGTTCTTTATGATTTTTTGGATTGTGCCAGGAGTGGTGAACAAATTAGATTTGGTGATACTTATGTTTCGAAGTGAGTTGGAGTGGGCAGAAACTTCTGGGACCAGGGTTTGGTTGGAATTGGAGTTCGAGAGAGTCAGCTATCAACTCGGCTCGATCGATGGCCGGAAAAACTAGACCGTTGGGGCTGGTAAGAGGGTGGGATGCAGGACGTTTTTGGAGGAGACATTTGTTTAGTTTGTATATGGAACCGTCCTGATGGTCAAGAGAATTAAGAAAAATGTCCCACTGGTCAGTTTTGTGAGTTTCGAGTAAAGTTCTGATTAGTGAGATTTTGGCGTTAAGTTGACGTTTGGTAGTCGGGTCACGGTTTCTTTGCCATTGACGGCGTAATTGGTTTTTTTCAGTTATTTCAAGTTTTATGTAGTCAGGTAGTAAAAAGGAAGAGTTTTTGTGTTTAGGAGTAAATACGCTAGCTTCGATCGCGTGTTGTATGTTTTTGGTGAGAGTATCAATTGCCAAATCGATTGACTCACTGTTGATGGTCGGTCGTTCAGTTGGGTTTGGTAAGTTGGATAGAATTGTCTTGTATTTTGTCCAGTTAATGAAGCGGTTAGTCGTTGGAGGGGACGATGATACCGGAGTACACAAGGTCTCCAGAAGGATAGGGTTGTGGTCAGAAGATAGCTCGTTGAGGTTGTCGATTTTAGTAGGATAAGGTAGTCGAACGAGTGCGATGTCAAGTATGTCAGGTCTGTATCTAGCGTTTGTCGGGAAGTGTGTGGGGGATGAGGGAGCAGTAATGGTATAGTCCGATTGTTGAACGTGGTCGAAAAGTACACGACCGGCAGCGTTTGTCGAGTGGCTATACCAGAGAGGGTGTTTGGCGTTGAAGTCACCTGCCGAGATTTGCAATTCAGCACTTTGGGTCAACAAGTCCAAGTCGTGAGACGTGAGTGTTGCACCTGGTGGTTTGTATGCCGCTGATACAAGGACTTTGTGGCCGTTTAGTTGGATGAGGACAGAAGAGGTTTGAATGAGTGTGTTAAGAGTTATAGGTTGGTGAATGATGCGTCAGTGGATTAGAACAGCCGTGCCGCCGTGATCAGGCGAGCCGCGGACGGGCGGCAGGTCATTCCTGTATGTGAAGAAATTTGGAATGTGAAATTGGGTAGAAGGAGATAGACGGGTTTCATTTAGTAAGATTATGTCAGTTTTTAGTAGGAGAGCGAGGGAGCGTAGTTCGTTGAGTTTGTTTTTGATACCGTTGGAGTTCCAAAATAGGATTTTTAAGTTATTCATTTTGGGGCGAGAGTATGGACAGGAATGTTTTGATCGTTGATTCTATGAGAGTTTTCGGATCATGATTATTGGATATTGCAGTCAGTAGGTTGGTGAGCAGGTTTAGTATCAGCGACAAGTTTAGTTATGGGACTGGAGAATTTGAAGAAGTGTGCGCTGATTTCGATGTTGCTGCGGAGTATGTCAATGTAGTGTTTTGTTTAGGGTGAGGTGGTGGAGGAGGGGGGTTGAGATTTTGTGTGAGGATTTATTTTGAACGAAGTCTTGGGTTGGAGTTGGAGATACCTGCTTTTTCTGAGCCATGAATTGGGGGCAGCTACGAAAATTTGCCGTGTGTTGGCCGCCACAGTTGCAGCATGTCGGAGGTTGCTCGAGAGTTTTTTTACAGGCGTTTGCATTGTGGTTACCGGCGCATTTTACACACCGAGGTGGGTGACCGCAGTTACGAGAGCCATGGCCAAAGCGTTGACAGGAAAAGCATTGAGCGGGTCCAGAAGGTTTAAGTGGTTCAACTGAGATTTGCAAGTAAAACAAGTTTGTGAGAAGAAATATGTCCTTAGCAGTTGGATTATCAGCGATGTGCACTACACATATTGGCATAGGTTTTTCGGGGGTGCCAAAGCGGCGGACGTAGTTCACGGAGTAACCTAGAGTAACTAACTCGTCTTTTAGTTCATCAGTAGATATATCGGTTGGAATGCCCTTTAGAACGATTTTTACAGAGCGTTCCTCGGGGATAACCGCACCGTTTCCTGGTGGTGGCCGTTGGTTTGGTGCGGTTTTCCCTCATTATACTGGTGAAATATTCTTCTATAAAATCCACCTCCTGTTATGGCACCGCGTGTAGTTATGTGGTTATGTCTGTTGGTAGTGGTCCTGAAAAGGACCATTTTATGTTTTACTCCGTTACAACACACACACATAACACACAATATTATTGTATTGGTATTTTATTACGCTATGTCAATTGTGTCTTCCGTGCATTATTATATAAGTAATATATAAATGTGATAAATGTAGATTAGAGAATTATTTAATACGGCCGCCGCAGTCCAGTTTCGAGCACCAGTGTAAACGAACCACAAATTATTGTTTTGGTGTGAGGGGTTGACGTTTATATTATATTATATTGTTTTGCAATTCGCGACTCGCCATATTTGTACCATAGTGAAAGCCACGAATCGCCAAATATTTATTATTGTTTTTATACGTTTTGAGACGCGAATCGCCATACATATTATTATTACATATTCTGTAAGGGCGCGAGTCACTATATATTATATATTATTATATTTGTTTTTGATTCAAATTATTTATGAAGGTGCAGGTAGCAAGCTGACCAGTCGTGCACCGACATACTTGTGAGTTCTTATACATATTATTATTATTGTTTTACGAGCTTACTGCTAAAACGACAGTAGCTATACATGGACGCTCGCTGGGGGGTGTCAGAGGGGCAATTGCCATCCTCGGAATTTTTAACTGCATGTTCTTTAATATCAATTTCGCTATAACTAATACTAGATTAAAATAATCTTTATCTTGCTCCTGGTGGGCGCACTTGTAGCTATACCTATATTTTATTCTGTTGAGTGCCACATATTATTATACGTATTGTACTATTTTGGCTGTGCTTAATTAATATTGTTGTCTGTTGCTGTGCATCATTATTATAATTCTATTGTCTTTTTACTGTAATACAGCAATTTAAATAAAGTTATGTTTTAGTTATATTTTTCTGAGTTACCTTTCTGTTGTTAGTTTTAAGCACACACCCACACACATATACAAACACTTACACACACTAGAATTCGATAGTTTTGCTCAGCAAACCCATCCACTTTGATCGAATTGCTAATACATATTGTATACATATATACACAGGTCGGTCGGTGTGTCAGTGTGATACTCACCGGGTTCGTTCCCGGCCCATACACATATTATATAAATTACCCGACCCCATCAATCAGTTATTATATGATATGTTAGACAAAACGCATATGGTTATTTGTATTTGTATTAATAATTTAATTTGGATAATCATTTTTCCGAACTCTGCATAGCTGGATCTCCAGTTAACCACTGACATTTCATATCAAGTTTGTACTTGACATAAATAATAGAATCTAATAAGAGGACATTGCAAACACATAACATAATGTTGTCTCCGTCTTAGGTATACGTATGGGTAATATACTAATATGTAAAGTAGTTACAAATTTATACTGTCATCTTAAATATTATAGAGAATTGACCTATAGTCAAACAAAAGTTGTAACGTTCGAAATTATACATCAATACAGTGCTGGCCAAGTTATAATGTTCCCTCCTCTAGATCAGTGTCATGACGATAACACCGCCGCACTACATCGGTAACCTCCCTCCGCCGCATCGCCGATGAACAATACCCGACGCGAGAGCAAAGGTTGCATAAGAAACCTCGCAATTAAAAGTAGTGAATATTGGCCAATGTTTTCTTTTTCTCGTCACTTTTTCGTGTCACCGTTCCCAACACGCACGCACGCGGAATCAGCTCCGCGTGATTTTTTTGTCCATATTATTGAACACCAACAATATGGAGTAAACTACCGCAGATCATTTCCGGTGCGCCCGTGGCGGGTATAGCCAAGATGGGCCGGAGTACGTGAGTACAAAAAAAAAAAAATTAAAAATATAAAAAACAAAAAGATATTATCACACCTTGGCCGGTATTCACTATTTTCATTGCATGTAAAATATTTAAATGTCAGACTATATTCTATTATCTTATTCTTTATCACTATCATTGTAATATATATATATGTGTGGTAGCCCGAGGCGTACCGCAGCCGTAGGATACGGTATATAAGTAAAAAAAAAAAAAAAAATAAAAAAAATAAAAATAAAAATATAGAAATAAGTAATTGATAATAGTCAATTACTTATACTTATGCCGTGGTCGGACGCCCGTGGTATGGCCGATACACTTTATTATTTTTATTATTTTGCATGATGTGTCAAGTCATATTCGATGACATTACTTATATTATTTTACTACATTTTATTACTTAACTTTATTTTTTTTTGAACAAAGTTTTTATGCCGCAAGGCTTTTCTTTGTTTATAACTTCGCATTATCATTTGATTCTCAAAAATATACATAACGATTATAATAAAGCAGAATTGTGTTATATATATATTACTTTATTATAAAAGAAAAATCCAGAGTACCCTGACTTCGGTCTCGGGCTCTGGTTGGCGACCCTATCTATACAACTGGTTGTCACATAACACCACATAGAACTGATCATTCAAATCTATAAATATGTGAGGTGTTATAGATGGCGACCCTGCCAGGATCGTAGCGTTACCGTTACATGCGTTATGAATACCTATTATTATTATATATTGCATACATGTACGGAAATGTGGCAAATGTGGTAGACAGCGGCACAATGCATTATTTTGTCATAGATCAGCTATTCCGTATACTTATAATATTATATACCACCATGACAGTGATTTTTGCCTGTCTGACCGTAGTGAAAATATCGGCCAAGAATAAGGTGTAGATAATATGTATATTGTAGGGAAAACTCCCAAAGAACCGGTACTGTCTGCGTGTATTTTCAGAAATTCTACGGTGACACGAAAAATGTCTATGTTGAACCTTGGTCGTCGTCATTTGCTGTTCGTCGGCGGTGCGGTGAAGGGAGGTGCCGTGTAGCTGTGCCGCGGAGCCGATTGTCATCGTCGTCGTACCGTCTGCCGTTGGGTCAAAGTGCGTCGCCGTCGTCCGTCGTCGCTGCAGGTGTTATCGTCCCACTGACCAGAGTTCCCCGGCGAATAGTACATAGGTTAATTTTAAGCACTGTATAGTATGTAAGCGTCGGTGTGTGTGCCTGTAAATGAATATATCTAATGCTCTTTATCAGGTACGTGTTTGGTGACCTACATTAAATTTATTTTCTACCACCGATTCGACAATCAATATTGTAATCTTTTACGTCAACACCTCGGTGCGATCATTCCGGCCCAGCCGTGTGACCGTTCCCTTTGTGTAGTCAATAAACCTAACAATCTATAGATTTGTGGATACGTGTTTTGGTGATTGTTTTCTTCTCTGGTTTTGTCCGTGCTCACCATTAGGATATCTGTATCACAAATCTATATATATATATATATTATTATTAATTTTTGTTTTTTCTGTCGAATTCGTTGGTAGAATAAAGTTATTTAGCCAGTTAGACCCGCGCACACATTGACGTATAGTTCGTAAGTTGGATATATATATATTGTAAACCATGGATACGTATAGTCACGCATCGACTATATATTAGGTTTTCGCACGCCTGTGCTACCGTTACATCCGTTCCGTACACGTAGAATAGGTAGGTATCCTCGTTGCTACGAGTGTTGTGCCCAGTTTCTGGGAGAGTATTGTTATTACTTATTATTATTGTTGGTTAATGGTCTAACGAAATATTATTATCCTCGTTGCTACGAGCGTTGTTTCGTTATTCTCTTTCTTTTCTAATTTTATTTCATTATAATTCCGTAAACGATTATGCATTTAATTAGTGCATGTTTGTTGCATGTACCTACCCATCTTTTTGATGCCCAAGTTATTGAAATGATTTTCCGTAATTTAGTATTTTTTTTCTTCGCTTAATGAATACCGTGCCATTTTGTTTTAATTATCTGACATTTATATATAATATAAATATACATTTATATTTATAGTCTGTATGTATTTATGACTCCGACTGCAAAATCTTTTATGACACCCGCCCGTCAGTACCGGAAATGAACACATTTCTATTGTCTTATTTATCTCTAAACCTTTGATATCTGAATAAGATTTTATTTAATTTTACTCCCACGTTCTGTCAACTATTTGTTCTTGTATCTTGACCATTATATGGATAGTGCCGGGAAACGTGAAACTCGTCCACCCGATCGACTGCTCGACGCTCTATTGAACTCTAACAAGATCAAAACAGTTCCCGTAACCATGACCACTACGGTCACTACTTCGAACCCACCTACGATAACCACGACAGCTCCGTCAATGCCTGGTAACCCTTCAGCCAATCATCAATCCAAAACAACATCCTCAGAAAAACCTGGATCGGATCCGGGTGTTCAGGCGATGCTCAGGCAGGTGATGACCGACCTTGCCAAAAACCATGCCCAGACTACAGCAAAAATTGAGAAACTACATCTAGGAACCGAAGAAAAATTTACTCAGTGTCTTAATCAATACCACCTAACAGATACTCGACTGGCAAAATTAGAAGACGACAACGTAGAACTCAGAGCTCAAGGTCTCCAACAAGCCACTACCAACAGTAATGTGTCCGGTCGACTTACCACACTCGAAGATGATATTGTACACATGAGAAATGACGTATCCCGGCTAGTTGATCAATATCGAGTATCCAACAATCCGGATTTATCACATATTCTGAAACCGACACCTCTGTCATCCACCTCAGCTGAAAATTGTTCAGTCAATTATAACACATCATCGATACCTCCGGCGTTTCCATCGATAAACCAACCAGCTGGTAATTTGACGATGTTTGATTCAGCGCGATCATCTTTTCTTGGGCCTCAAGAACGTTTTCAAGATGCCGTGGCTGAATTTTCCGGACAAATTAAAGTTCTTCATCCAGAAAAGTTTATCGCGCAAGTTGACGCCTATTTCGAAAGTGTATTCGTATCACCTGCTCAGCAACTCATATCTGCTCAACGTCGCTTAGTCGGAGATGCGCAAGTCTGGTATGAATCACTGATCCCATCGCCCCGAACGTATGCTGAATTCCGTCTATCTTTCCGCCAACATTTTTGGTCTTCAGCCACCCAACGTAAGGCCCGAAATGAAGTCTTCCGCCCCTATCAGTATACCCGATACGATGGTTTAGCCACCCATGCTATGAAATGGATTGCTGGGGCAAAGTATCTATCTCCGCCTATTGAACAAGCTGACCTTGTGTCTACCATCATCCAACATTACCCCACGCCACTAGGAATGGCTATCCGTGGTCGAGGCCCTCGTGATACAAACGAGTTGCTATCGGTGTTAAAAGAATTTGAGGAGTCTGCCTCATTTTGTGAACGACGTCGTGAGGAAAACAATACCCGACCACCCTTTCAACACCAGGCCGATGTAAATCAACAGCCCCGGAACAATTTCCGACGAGACAATAATAACAGGTATCAACCTCGTGCACCGGTTCAGGAAAGTGCCGTACCTCGACCAGTGACCCAGATTAATGTCTCGGGAAACGCCGACGAGGCTCGTGCGTAAGTACGTCACGTCACGAAGCCTCCATATCCAATACTATGCGTACCACTCCAACCCCTGTTGTCGTGGATAGGGATCGGCCAAACGGAAAACGACCTGGACTACCGATCACCATTTTCAATAAACAGTTTAACGCTTTGCTTGACTCAGGTGCCGCCATCTCCGCCATTTCTGAAGAAATATTTGCGAACATCAAACGAAGCATTCCGGAAGGAGAATGTTTATCGACTTTACCAGTCACCGGAGTGACAATATCGACTGCTGTTCGAGGTCGTAGTCGAAAAGTTACAACACAGGTCCTCATACCATTTTCCGTTTCCGGGCATATCACTGATTGCATCTGCCTTGTTGTTCCTCACCTTGCAACCTCGATCATACTAGGAGATGACTGGTTAACCCAGAATAAAGTCTGTCTCGATTACTCCACACGGATGTCATCTTTCCCAAGATGGGGTCTTGATGTACCCTTTTCGGCTACTCAAGAAGAATTAGTGAATCCGATAAATGCGTTCTTCACTATGTCGATATCCCCAGAAGACTATGTTCGGACAGTCTCCGAACATTGTATATCTAGTGTTGAAATGATATATCAACAACTGCACTCACCGAACAGTCACAATGTCGTAGCTAGTCTACAGATTATACCAAACACTGATCTAGAACCATTCGGCAACATAACGGACCATCTCTCATCCGTTATAGCCCCCTCTCCCGAACAATTTGAGAAAATGTTGGACCTTTTTCATGAGTATCATCAAATTTTTCGGACACGACCCGGTTTGAATTCATTATACACCTGTCGTTTCAACACCACAGAAGATGTACCATTCAAAATACGTCCCTATCCAGTGCCTTTCGCTCGTCGTCCAGCCGTTCAAAAAGAACTAGCCCGTATGTTGAACTGGGGGGTGATTGAGAGGTGTTCATCACCCTACAGTAATCCAATTGTATGTGTTGGTAAAGCAGATGGCACAGTCCGGCTCTGTCTCGATGCTCGGAGAGTGAACAAGATTATCTTACCGATGCGTGATTCATCGCCCCCACTCGATGAGCTACTTGCTCGTTTTGGTGGAAAAGCGATGTTTTCCAGTCTCGATTTCACAGCTGGATATTGGCAGGTTTCGTTACATCGCGATGTTAGGAAGTACACTGCTTTTGTGTATGATGGTCGAACGTACCAGTTCTGTGTAGTACCATTTGGCCTCAATATCTCGAATACCGCGTTCCAGCAGGCTTTGGAATCGGTGCTCTCCAATCAAACAGAAGTTGACGTAGATGAAGCGCTCGATGACCTTCACATATACGTCGATGATGTGCTCGTGTCTTCGACGTCATTTAATGACCACCTATGTCGCCTTCGACTTTTATTCAAAAAGATTGCTGTCTCTGGAATGACTTTAAAATTCAGCAAATGTAAATTTTTCCGGGACAAAATCAAGTTCTTGGGCCACATCATCACACCTTCAGGAATGTCCATGGACCCTTCCAAACTCCAAGCTGTTCACGATTTTCCAGTGCCACGCAACAAAAAGGACCTTCAGTCGTTCATAGGGTTCTGCAATTTTTATAGGAAATTCGCCGACCATCACGCGTCGCTTATTGGTCCACTCATTAACCTTTTGAAAAAGGGGGTTCCGTGGCAGTTCACAGAAAACGATCTATCCAATTTTAATTCTGTCAAATCAGCATTTACCGAACGTTTCCTTGCTCACCCTGATTTCAACTCTGACTTTTATCTACAAACTGATGCAAGTAACCTCGGACTCGGAGCTGAATTGTTTCAAATCAATACTTCCTCTGAGAGACAAACGATTGGGTTTGCGAGTCGAACGTTGAACTCCGCAGAAGAAAATTACACTGTAACTGAGCTAGAGCTCTTATCTATAGTTTTTGCGTGTAATAAGTTCCGGGTGTTCATTCTTGGTTACCCCATTCATGTGTTGACTGACCATCAAGCACTTACATTTTTGTTCCGGTGTAGGCTTCGAAATGCACGCCTTACTCGTTGGACGCTTGTGCTTCAAGAATTTGATCTGAGGATTCGACATATCAGCGGTCCTAGTAATATAACCGATGTTCTATCTCGCAATCCTATCGGCCGTGATGCAACCGCTGGGCAGTATCGTTCACCGTACATTTTCATAACCACTCCCAGTAAGTTGTTTTCTGAGCATCAATCCCATATTCAAGCTTTCAATCATATATTGTCCGAACAACGAAGGGACGAAAGGATCCGGAAAGTTATTGACGTTTTATCTGGAAGTTCGTGGGTGTTGACCGCAATCACAGCGCGTTACTGCATGTATAGGGACATCTTATTCTATCGCCGACACCTCTCCTCCGATAAGTGGTTAGTCTGCGTCCCTCTGCATCGAGTTGATGAACTTATTACCAAGTTTCATATACACTTCGGACATGTCGGTCCGAAGAAATGCATTTCAGCAATCCGGGATGTGTGTTTCTTTCGTGGTCTGAGTGGGAACGTCCGCAGGATTGTCAAAAGTTGTGACCTCTGCCAACGTGCGAAGTTTTCGACAGTACGGACAGAGGGCGAAATGCAAAATGTGTTAGCCACCGCACCTCTTCAACGTGTCTGTGTTGATCTCTATGGTCCCTTACCATCTGGGTGGAACCATGTAAAATATATTTTTGTCGTCCTCGATTGTTTCTCACGGTTCGTTAGATTGTTCCCAATAAAACGATCTACCGCCGTTGTCGTGACTAATCGTATGATTAACGATTATGTGGCCATCCACGGTACTCCAAAGACTGTTGTCTCCGACCATGGCGTCCAGTTTGTCAGCCGAGTATGGCAGGCTCGTCTTACAGCCATTGGCGCGTCTGTAACTACTACTAGTGTGTATCATCCCCAAAGTAACCCGGCTGAGAGGGTTATGCGAGAATTAGGTAGACTTTTTCGGACCTATTGTCACCAGAATCATACTGAATGGCCCCGTTATGTCAAATATATTGAGTGGGTTCTGAATCATACTGTGCATGAGGCCACTGGTTTTACCCCTAGTGAGATTTTTCTAAAAGAAGATCGATATAGTCCGATTTATGAAGCCGTAGAGTGCCCCCCAAAACCCGCTGATGACTATACAGTCAAGTTAACCATGGCCGCCGAGGTTCAACGAACCAAAGCTGAAGAACGCCGCATTCGCCATGATCGTCAGGGGAAACCCACAAAATTTTCTATAGGAGATGAAGTCCTAGTTCGTACCCATCACTCCTCCTCAGCTGTTGACCGACAGATTAAAAAATTTTTCATGTTGTATGAAGGTCCATACAATATTATCGAAGTAAAAAACCATAACGCGTATGTGTTAAACGACCCTGTAACGAATCAGGTACGAGGAACATTTAACGTGATCTTCCTCCGAAAGTATGTCCGTCTGAAAACCACAATAGCACAATAATGTTGGTATGAGGGATAAGGTCCACCATACCAATGTACCTCTGCGAAGCCCGGAAAACGACCCCTATACCATGTTAATGTTAATTATTTACAATTTCTCCCTTTTCGTGTGCAGAAGCGTCCCTCGGCAAGCCCGGTACACTTCTACAGGGGGGTTTCTGTAACGTTCGAAATTATACATCAATACAGTGCTGGCCAAGTTATAATGTTCCCTCCTCTAGATCAGTGTCATGACGATAACACCGCCGCACTACATCGGTAACCTCCCTCCGCCGCATCGCCGATGAACAATACCCGACGCGAGAGCAAAGGTTGCATAAGAAACCTCGCAATTAAAAGTAGTGAATATTGGCCAATGTTTTCTTTTTCTCGTCACTTTTTCGTGTCACCGTTCCCAACACGCACGCACGCGGAATCAGCTCCGCGTGATTTTTTTGTCCATATTATTGAACACCAACAATATGGAGTAAACTACCGCAGATCATTTCCGGTGCGCCCGTGGCGGGTATAGCCAAGATGGGCCGGAGTACGTGAGTACAAAAAAAAAAAAATTAAAAATATAAAAAACAAAAAGATATTATCACACCTTGGCCGGTATTCACTATTTTCATTGCATGTAAAATATTTAAATGTCAGACTATATTCTATTATCTTATTCTTTATCACTATCATTGTAATATATATATATGTGTGGTAGCCCGAGGCGTACCGCAGCCGTAGGATACGGTATATAAGTAAAAAAAAAAAAAAAAATAAAAAAAATAAAAATAAAAATATAGAAATAAGTAATTGATAATAGTCAATTACTTATACTTATGCCGTGGTCGGACGCCCGTGGTATGGCCGATACACTTTATTATTTTTATTATTTTGCATGATGTGTCAAGTCATATTCGATGACATTACTTATATTATTTTACTACATTTTATTACTTAACTTTATTTTTTTTTGAACAAAGTTTTTATGCCGCAAGGCTTTTCTTTGTTTATAACTTCGCATTATCATTTGATTCTCAAAAATATACATAACGATTATAATAAAGCAGAATTGTGTTATATATATATTACTTTATTATAAAAGAAAAATCCAGAGTACCCTGACTTCGGTCTCGGGCTCTGGTTGGCGACCCTATCTATACAACTGGTTGTCACATAACACCACATAGAACTGATCATTCAAATCTATAAATATGTGAGGTGTTATAGATGGCGACCCTGCCAGGATCGTAGCGTTACCGTTACATGCGTTATGAATACCTATTATTATTATATATTGCATACATGTACGGAAATGTGGCAAATGTGGTAGACAGCGGCACAATGCATTATTTTGTCATAGATCAGCTATTCCGTATACTTATAATATTATATACCACCATGACAGTGATTTTTGCCTGTCTGACCGTAGTGAAAATATCGGCCAAGAATAAGGTGTAGATAATATGTATATTGTAGGGAAAACTCCCAAAGAACCGGTACTGTCTGCGTGTATTTTCAGAAATTCTACGGTGACACGAAAAATGTCTATGTTGAACCTTGGTCGTCGTCATTTGCTGTTCGTCGGCGGTGCGGTGAAGGGAGGTGCCGTGTAGCTGTGCCGCGGAGCCGATTGTCATCGTCGTCGTACCGTCTGCCGTTGGGTCAAAGTGCGTCGCCGTCGTCCGTCGTCGCTGCAGGTGTTATCGTCCCACTGACCAGAGTTCCCCGGCGAATAGTACATAGGTTAATTTTAAGCACTGTATAGTATGTAAGCGTCGGTGTGTGTGCCTGTAAATGAATATATCTAATGCTCTTTATCAGGTACGTGTTTGGTGACCTACATTAAATTTATTTTCTACCACCGATTCGACAATCAATATTGTAATCTTTTACGTCAACACCTCGGTGCGATCATTCCGGCCCAGCCGTGTGACCGTTCCCTTTGTGTAGTCAATAAACCTAACAATCTATAGATTTGTGGATACGTGTTTTGGTGATTGTTTTCTTCTCTGGTTTTGTCCGTGCTCACCATTAGGATATCTGTATCACAAATCTATATATATATATATATTATTATTAATTTTTGTTTTTTCTGTCGAATTCGTTGGTAGAATAAAGTTATTTAGCCAGTTAGACCCGCGCACACATTGACGTATAGTTCGTAAGTTGGATATATATATATTGTAAACCATGGATACGTATAGTCACGCATCGACTATATATTAGGTTTTCGCACGCCTGTGCTACCGTTACATCCGTTCCGTACACGTAGAATAGGTAGGTATCCTCGTTGCTACGAGTGTTGTGCCCAGTTTCTGGGAGAGTATTGTTATTACTTATTATTATTGTTGGTTAATGGTCTAACGAAATATTATTATCCTCGTTGCTACGAGCGTTGTTTCGTTATTCTCTTTCTTTTCTAATTTTATTTCATTATAATTCCGTAAACGATTATGCATTTAATTAGTGCATGTTTGTTGCATGTACCTACCCATCTTTTTGATGCCCAAGTTATTGAAATGATTTTCCGTAATTTAGTATTTTTTTTCTTCGCTTAATGAATACCGTGCCATTTTGTTTTAATTATCTGACATTTATATATAATATAAATATACATTTATATTTATAGTCTGTATGTATTTATGACTCCGACTGCAAAATCTTTTATGACACCCGCCCGTCAGTACCGGAAATGAACACATTTCTATTGTCTTATTTATCTCTAAACCTTTGATATCTGAATAAGATTTTATTTAATTTTACTCCCACGTTCTGTCAACTATTTGTTCTTGTATCTTGACCATTATATGGATAGTGCCGGGAAACGTGAAACTCGTCCACCCGATCGACTGCTCGACGCTCTATTGAACTCTAACAAGATCAAAACAGTTCCCGTAACCATGACCACTACGGTCACTACTTCGAACCCACCTACGATAACCACGACAGCTCCGTCAATGCCTGGTAACCCTTCAGCCAATCATCAATCCAAAACAACATCCTCAGAAAAACCTGGATCGGATCCGGGTGTTCAGGCGATGCTCAGGCAGGTGATGACCGACCTTGCCAAAAACCATGCCCAGACTACAGCAAAAATTGAGAAACTACATCTAGGAACCGAAGAAAAATTTACTCAGTGTCTTAATCAATACCACCTAACAGATACTCGACTGGCAAAATTAGAAGACGACAACGTAGAACTCAGAGCTCAAGGTCTCCAACAAGCCACTACCAACAGTAATGTGTCCGGTCGACTTACCACACTCGAAGATGATATTGTACACATGAGAAATGACGTATCCCGGCTAGTTGATCAATATCGAGTATCCAACAATCCGGATTTATCACATATTCTGAAACCGACACCTCTGTCATCCACCTCAGCTGAAAATTGTTCAGTCAATTATAACACATCATCGATACCTCCGGCGTTTCCATCGATAAACCAACCAGCTGGTAATTTGACGATGTTTGATTCAGCGCGATCATCTTTTCTTGGGCCTCAAGAACGTTTTCAAGATGCCGTGGCTGAATTTTCCGGACAAATTAAAGTTCTTCATCCAGAAAAGTTTATCGCGCAAGTTGACGCCTATTTCGAAAGTGTATTCGTATCACCTGCTCAGCAACTCATATCTGCTCAACGTCGCTTAGTCGGAGATGCGCAAGTCTGGTATGAATCACTGATCCCATCGCCCCGAACGTATGCTGAATTCCGTCTATCTTTCCGCCAACATTTTTGGTCTTCAGCCACCCAACGTAAGGCCCGAAATGAAGTCTTCCGCCCCTATCAGTATACCCGATACGATGGTTTAGCCACCCATGCTATGAAATGGATTGCTGGGGCAAAGTATCTATCTCCGCCTATTGAACAAGCTGACCTTGTGTCTACCATCATCCAACATTACCCCACGCCACTAGGAATGGCTATCCGTGGTCGAGGCCCTCGTGATACAAACGAGTTGCTATCGGTGTTAAAAGAATTTGAGGAGTCTGCCTCATTTTGTGAACGACGTCGTGAGGAAAACAATACCCGACCACCCTTTCAACACCAGGCCGATGTAAATCAACAGCCCCGGAACAATTTCCGACGAGACAATAATAACAGGTATCAACCTCGTGCACCGGTTCAGGAAAGTGCCGTACCTCGACCAGTGACCCAGATTAATGTCTCGGGAAACGCCGACGAGGCTCGTGCGTAAGTACGTCACGTCACGAAGCCTCCATATCCAATACTATGCGTACCACTCCAACCCCTGTTGTCGTGGATAGGGATCGGCCAAACGGAAAACGACCTGGACTACCGATCACCATTTTCAATAAACAGTTTAACGCTTTGCTTGACTCAGGTGCCGCCATCTCCGCCATTTCTGAAGAAATATTTGCGAACATCAAACGAAGCATTCCGGAAGGAGAATGTTTATCGACTTTACCAGTCACCGGAGTGACAATATCGACTGCTGTTCGAGGTCGTAGTCGAAAAGTTACAACACAGGTCCTCATACCATTTTCCGTTTCCGGGCATATCACTGATTGCATCTGCCTTGTTGTTCCTCACCTTGCAACCTCGATCATACTAGGAGATGACTGGTTAACCCAGAATAAAGTCTGTCTCGATTACTCCACACGGATGTCATCTTTCCCAAGATGGGGTCTTGATGTACCCTTTTCGGCTACTCAAGAAGAATTAGTGAATCCGATAAATGCGTTCTTCACTATGTCGATATCCCCAGAAGACTATGTTCGGACAGTCTCCGAACATTGTATATCTAGTGTTGAAATGATATATCAACAACTGCACTCACCGAACAGTCACAATGTCGTAGCTAGTCTACAGATTATACCAAACACTGATCTAGAACCATTCGGCAACATAACGGACCATCTCTCATCCGTTATAGCCCCCTCTCCCGAACAATTTGAGAAAATGTTGGACCTTTTTCATGAGTATCATCAAATTTTTCGGACACGACCCGGTTTGAATTCATTATACACCTGTCGTTTCAACACCACAGAAGATGTACC